TAATATTTATTTATTTATTTATTTATTTATTTATTTATTTATTTATATTTACTTTTTATTTCAGAGAGGAAGGGAGAGGGAGAGAGAGATAGAAACTTCAATGAGAGAGAATCATTGATTAGCTGCCTTCTGCACGCCCCCTACTGGGGATTGGGCCCACAACCTGGGTATGTGCCCTTAACCAGAATTGAACCCAGGACTCTTCAGTCTGCAGGGTTATGCCCTATCCACTGAGCCAAATCAGCAAGGGCATCCCCAAAGCCTTCACTTCAGTCACTCAGTCACTTTTTTAGTGAAACCTTTCTTGAAGGTGTTATTTAAAATTACAAACCTTTTCCCTCATTATATTCCTACTAGGGGCCTGGTGCACAGATTTGTGCAGCGGTGCGGTCCCTCGGCCTAGCATGTGCCCTCCTGCAATCCAGGACCCAGGGATGTAGAGAGTTGGATTCAGCCTGATCTCCACAATCCAGGCTGAGGGACCCCACTGGTGCAAGCTAAACTCTCAATCAGAACATCTGCTCCCTGCTCCCAGTGTGTGCGACTGGTCAAATGGTTGAACAAACGGACACTTAGCATATTAGGCTTTTATTACATAGGACTGGAAGCCCAGTGCATAAAATTTGTGCACAGGTAGGATCCCTAGCGGCTGCTAGCTGCCAGCTGGGTCCTCCCTCCCTTCCCTTGGCTGCCTGCTGCACCCACCAGCCAGGGCCTTCTTCCCTTCCTCTGGCTGGCCCTGCCCCCACCGCCTGGTTGAACTTCCAGAAGAACTAAGAACTCTGGTCAAGGGGCCAATTTGCATACTATACTTTTATTATATAGGGTTTCAATTTTATGGCTTTTATCTATAAGGCATACCACTTAAATACTAAGTATTATATTTGTTTATTATGGTTTTTGGTGTTGAATCAGTATTGGGTGTTGGATATTATCAAATAATTTTTTAAGCATCAAACTGTTGATCATGTGTCCTTTTTTTCATGACCTCATATGATATTAATAGATTCCTAAGAGTGAACTTTCTGGAATTCCTGGAAAAAGCCTTTGTATAAATTGCATATTTCATGTAATATTTATTGAATGCTTTAGAAATACTGTAATTACTGAATCTGTCAGATTTAAGAATGTGTTTCTTTATAAATGTATAGAGTACTGGCCAAGTTGAATTCTTGAGTCACATCAGCCAGTATTTAAAAATTTTGTAGATAATCGATTTTTTTTAGGGAGCAAGTCTTCAGAATAAATAAATAATTATAAGTACTTATTTAATTGGCTTTTAGAGAGAGAAACATCGATGTAAGAGAAACATTGTTCAGCTGCTTCCTACAACCTGCCCTGACCAGGAATCAAACTGGCAACTCTTTGGTCAAGGGACAACGCCCAACCAACTAAGCCCCAATGGCCAGGGCCAGGAATACTTTTAAATTAAATATTCAAATTCCATAGAGATAAAATGAATCTGTTAAGTTTTCTGCAATACATAATGATTTAAAAACTTTAATTTAGTATTTTCTAAAATAGTATTTTGTTTTTATGTACAGAAGAATATGTAAAATATATATTAACAAAACTGACATACTCTGCTAATATAAATACTATAAATATTAACTAACTTTTGTTCTTACATCAACACTGTGAGAAATAGGGACCATTTAACAGGTGAGAAAAAGAATACAGACACGTTAAGTAACCTGCCCAAGGTCGCACATCTAACTGTGGTGGAGTTCAAATTTGAGCCAGGTAGTAGGACTCCAGAGTTGTTGTTTTAGCTATTATGCCATACTGCATCTTTTTATAGGTAATAATGATAAAGATTTAATGAATAATAAAGCAAACACCTAAGTACTAAAACCTAGAGTCAGAAACAGGAAATTATTGGTATCCTCACCATGATTTGTGTATTCCTCATTCACACTCTTAACCTCTCTGAGACATATCACTATTCTCACCTTTGTGATAATTCTCTTCCCTTTTCTTTAAGTATTGCCATCCATAAATGAACCTATAAAAAGCATATTTAGTTTTAATTTGTTTTTAAACTTTAACTAGACTCTTGCTAGATATTTTTCTGTGACTTTATTCATTCATATTGATATATATAGCTATAGTTTATTAATTTTAACTAGTCTTAATTTAGGCTGCTGTAACAGAGTACTATACAGGTAGCTTAAAAGTCAAATAACCATTTCTCACTGTTCCAGAGACTGTTAAGTCTGAGATCAGAATGCCAGTGTGGTTGGGTTGTTGGTGAGGGCCCTCATCCTGGTTCAGAGACAACTCCTTCCTGCTGTGTCCTCACATGCTAGAGAATGGAGAGACAGGATGCAAGCTCTTTCATCTCTTCTTATGAGGGCTCTACTCCCATCACCCTTCGGCCCTCATGATCTATGATCTCCCCAAAATTCCACCTAATATAATACCATTGAGAATTTAGCTTCAACATAGGAATTTTGGGGAGACACAAACATTCACTGTTGTCAATTATTCCATTGTATATATATTTGACAAATTAGTTATTCTATTATTGATACTTGTGTTGCTTCCATTTTTTAAAATTATTTATTTATTTATTTATTTATTTGTTTATTTATTTATTGCTGTTGAGCACTGCTACTTTTAAAATTATGAATGATATACCTTTGTAAGTTAAATTTACCTGGGTGTGAATAGTGGAATTGCTAAACCATTCATTCAGGTGTCCACTTCTTATGTGCCTATTCATGTCTTGCCAGTTTTTCTAGTGGGTTTAGTGTTCCATAGATATTGTTTTCCAAGTCTAGGTTCTAGTTCTTTGTGGGTTATTGTTATATATCTTTTGCCAGTATGCAACTTTTAAAAAACTTTTCTTTATGATGTCTTTGGGATGGCTGGAAGCATGTAATTATTCTTCCAATATTTGTTCTCTGTTTTGATTTTTATACATTTTTCTTCTCATTGTTTACATTATTTAAAAAAATACATATTTTTTATTGATTTTTTTATAGAGAGGAAGAGAGAGGGATAGAGAGTTAGAAACATTAATGAGAGAGAAACATCAATCAGCTGCCTCTTATACACCTCTCACTGGGGATGTGCCCGCAAACAAGGTACATGCCCTTTACCGGAATCGAACCCAGGACCTTTCAGTCCACAGGCCGACACTTTATCCATTGAGACAAACCAGTTTTGGCTGTTTACATTATTTTAAAAATTTATTTTCTTAACTCTCTACAGTTTCTAAACTTGGTATCTTCTGTGCATCATTTATCTTTGAATGGAGGTAGTTCTATCTGGACTTTGTCTAACAGGATGAAACCCCATTTTGTCCTTATGTTGTGCCTGGGTGGCACTTTAAATGTTCTCAAAGAATTGTAGTTGGGTAGCTAGATATGATAGTGAGGTGGGGCAAGTGGTCATTTCTAATTCATGTGTTGCCTGTTCATACTTTATTGGATAGGTCCTCACTGTGGTTACTTGGTGGTGTGTTTTAGAGGTGGATTCCACTAGGATTTCCACTTTTTATCTTTTATGTAAGCAGGTCAAGTTGTAAGGAGGAAGTCCAGAAAATGCATAACCCTTGCTTCACAGTAAAGCCTCCTGCTCACATGCCAAACTTTGTCTGTTGCTTCAGTATTTATCTCTGCTCTGTAGACTCTGATCAAGCTGACAGATTCTCAGATTATAGTTACCTGTTCCCTGCCTCTCATTGCCCCTAGGCCATTTTGTCTGGAATAAGACATGGGATCAGAAAATAAAGCCTGAGTGGTCCTTCTTTCAGCTCCTTCTGAAGCAGTTCAACAGATTCTTCCTTGCCTGCCTCCCTGAATCTCCAACCCCCCCCCATCTCATATATATATATATATTTTTTTTAATTGATTTTTTACAGAGAAGAAGGGAGAGGGATAGAGAGTTAGAAACATCGATGAGAGAGAGACATCGATCAGCTGCCTCCTGCACACCCCCTACTGGGGATGTGCCCGCAACCAAGGTACATGCCCTTGACTGGAATCGAACTCGTGACCTTTAGTCTGCAGGCCGATGCTCTATTCACTGAGCCAAACTGGTTTTGGCCTCCATCTCATCTATAAGGAATGAGTATTTAGGAAAGTGTAGGGCCCTTTAGGACTTTGTTAACCTTTGTGAGAAAATTACAACCTGCTTGAAATTTGTGTGGTAGGGGAAGCTTTTATATTGTGTTATCCTCCCTTAAAGAGTTTGAGTTTCAAATATGTTCCAGACAAGTATGTTTTTAAAGATGAGGTTATATACATTATCTTTATCAGATTATTTTTATCCTCACTTTATAGCAGGCGTCTTCAAACTACGGCCCGCGGGCCACATGCGGCCCGCAGAGGAGTCTGATCCGGCCCGCCAGGTTTTTTGGGCAGTGAGCTCAGCCGAGGTGTTACAGTAGGAATTAGTAGTTCATATAGTCCGGCCCTCCAGCTCTCTGAGGGACCGTGATCTGGCCCCCACTTTAAAAAGTTTGAGGACGCCTGCTTTATAGCTATGAAAACTCAGATTGGAGAAACAAGTAACTAGTTAAGATGGTAAGTGTTGAACCTGGTTGTCTGATTTCAGGGTTGACAGTCTTCATTGTGTCACTCTATGATATTTTTGAAGATTTAGTATTAGAATTATAGATAGGAAGAAATGGCTGGTAAGAACAGTAGTACAAAATGGCAGGGCTTTCTGATCTTTCTCTTGCATTCCTAGGTCTTCTGTATATTTTCTGTTAGTTCCATAATTATTTAGCCTTGTCTAGTGGTCAGTTACTTCAATATCTATCCCTTCTGCATAACCTCACTCTTTTCTCTTCTTGCTCTGTTTCTAGTTCCCTTATTTGTGGACTGGTTCACTGTTTTTTTCTTTCCAATTCTTTTCCTAATTGTAGGGACATCTTTAAAAGCTTTCCAAATGTGCATGTATTCTCAATTTTATTCTCATTCCCACTTTATACAGTTTTCAGTCTCCCAACACAGAAACCAATGTGCATTTGAATTTTTTATTTTTTACAGACTGGGAGGCAAGACTTGAAACCAAAGAGTCAACTCCAGAGTCCATCATTACTGAAGATTTATCCTATTGGGTAATAATGGAAAAGGAAGGTCTCTGGCATTCTTCTTTAAGGGAAACCTGGGAATCTGATAATTGGTTAGAGGGCCAACAGAAAAACCAGGATATACATCTGGGTCAAGTGGCAGTTACCCATAAGGAAACCCTCATTGAGAGGAGAGTATGTAGAGGTAATGAATTTGAAAGATGTTCCAATCAGGGTTCAGTCATTGATATACAACAAAGTACTATGGGAAAAAGGCCCTGTTATCAGAATTCACATGGGAAAGATAAACCAAGTTCTGAATTAATTAAGATTCAAAGAATGTTTGTAGGGAAGAAAATCTATGAATGTAATGAATGCAGGAAAGCCTTCAGCCAGAGCTCATCCCTTCTTAAACACCAGAGGATTCATACTGGGGAGAAGCCCTATAAGTGCAATGTATGTGGGAAGCACTTCACTGAACGCTCCTCTCTTACTGTACATCAAAGAATTCATACTGGAGAGAAACCTTACAAATGTAATGAATGTGGCAAAACCTTCAGTCAAAGCATGAACCTTACTGTTCATCAAAGAACTCATACTGGAGAAAAACCCTACCAATGTAAAGAGTGTGGAAAAGCTTTCCGAAAGAATTCATCCCTTATTCAACATGAAAGGATCCATACTGGTGAGAAACCCTACAAATGTAATGAATGTGGGAAAGCATTTACTCAAAGTATGAATCTCACAGTGCATCAAAGAACTCATACAGGAGAAAAGCCTTATGAATGTAATGAATGTGGGAAGTCTTTCAGTCAAAGTATGCACCTTATTGTACACCAGAGAAGTCATACTGGAGAGAAACCCTATGAGTGTAGTGAATGTGGAAAAGCCTTCAGTAAGAGCTCAACTCTTACCCTGCACCAACGAAATCACACTGGAGAAAAACCCTACAAATGTAACAAATGTGGGAAATCCTTTAGCCAAAGTACATACCTTATAGAACATCAGAGACTTCATTCTGGAGTAAAACCTTTTGAATGTAATCAGTGTGGAAAAGCTTTCAGTAAGAATTCATCTCTTACTCAACATAGGAGGATTCATACCGGAGAGAAGCCTTACGAGTGTATCGTATGTGGGAAGCATTTTACTGGACGATCATCCCTTACTGTACATCGGGTTATTCACACTGGAGAGAAACCTTATGAGTGCAATGAATGTGGAAAGGCCTTCAGCCAGAGTGCATATCTTATTGAGCATCAAAGAATTCATACTGGTGAGAAACCCTATGAATGTGATCAGTGTGGTAAAGCCTTCATTAAGAATTCATCCCTTGTAGTGCATCAGAGAACTCATACAGGAGAGAAACCCTATCGGTGTAGTGAATGTGGGAAAGCCTTCAGTCGGAGTACAAATCTTACACGGCATCAGAGAACTCATACATGAGGAAAGTTTTCACTGTGCTCATCGTGATGAACTCTTCAGTGATAATTAGATCTGTCGTGTCATGTAGGAACCAATAAATGTAATGATTTTAGGAATCTTTTAGGTGAGGTACATTATACCATATCAGATGATACAGACCATTGCAGAGGAACCATACAAAAGTGGAAAATCTTGATTGAATTAGAAAGAAAAACTTTGTATCTGGAGGCTTAAGTTGCTGATATTCTAAACAACGAGGATTCATGCTGAAGATAAGTTCTGTTGTATCATACTGCAGATTCTTCTTTGGATGTCAGAGATTTCACATTGGAGAGAATATATGAGAGTGCTTAACTGGACACCCCAAAGACCTGGTATGTACTCTGATCTGTCACTAACTTGGACAAGTCACCTACTTTCACCAGGTCACAGTGCCCATATTTGGTAAATGATGGATTTTGGATTTAGAAGATCTCCAGGATCTCTTTAAGTTCTATAAAGCAACAAACCTATAGATATAATGAATATTGTGACATCCTTAATCTTTTACCATGTTATGTATGTTATTAGATGCTACTATTTTACAGTCTGGTTTCCCTGGATGTTGTAAGTTAAAATTCTCTCTCTACCAAATCTTGTTATTTTCCCATGCCTACCCCCTTCTCCTTGCATTATTTTCTCCCCTAAACATTGGCTGGTTGCAAACAGGTGATGGAATAATTGTACAAATCTTAATGCAATAGTATACTGTGTCGAGTCCTCAATTAACAGTCATTAAATTGTTAAATACACTAGTTCGAAAGTAACATAACTTAGAGTGTTTTCCTAGGACTCAAATACATATCTTTGTATCATATTGACAATCGAGTGGAAAGGAAGATAGGCTGAACACTAATAGAAATAAAAATCTGACATTAATAAAACCTTTGTAATTCAAACATATGCAAAACAGACATGGAGACTTTATAGACCTATAGTAAAGACAATTTTATTTATTTCACACATTTAATACGTGATATAAACATGTGTTAGAGAATAAAAATATGATATAGTCTTGTTTTCCAACGTTTAAACTGAGAAAGTGACAGTGAGATGGGAAAAGAAGAATTCATGCAAAAATGACACAGGATCTAGATAATGTGTTAACTGATTAAATGTGAGTGCTTGAATTTTTTATTTGGATGTATCGGAATGCCATAACTAAAAATATAAAGTTGACCAATTTTGTGGGGCAATGATCAGTTAGTTTGGGGATATTTTGGTGAGTATGTGGATATCCAAGTGAAAATTCGTAATAGACTATACACTAAGTAGTAGGGCATCGCTTAGAGGGTTCTCTAGGAGTATAATATTATAGTTCCCCAAACCCTAATTCATGGTATTGCTTTTCACAGTTTGTTACCCACAGTCAACCTTGAATCCAAAAATATTAAATGGAAAATTCCAACAGAACCCCCACAATTCATGTTTTAAATTGCACACCATTCTGAGATGCTTGCTGAATTCCCATGCCACCTCACTTCATTGTGATCTCATTACATAGCCACTGTATCTTGTCACATCATCCCAAGAAGGGTGAGTACAGTACAAGGAGATATTTTGAGAGACCACATTCACATAATTTATTACAGTATCTTATTAAAATTGTTCTCATTAGTTACTGTTAATCTTTTACTGTGCCTAATTTGTAAATTAAACTTTAACTTAAGTATGTTTTTATGGGAAAAAACATGGTGCGTGTGTCTGTGTATAGGGTTCAGTACAACTTATTGTTTTAGGCATCCCGTGTAGGTCTTGGAACATACCTTGTATACAACAGTTAAGAGAAATACAAAGAACAGAAAAATCAGAACATTGTAGAACAGAAGTAAAAGGAGAATTTAGTGTAGGGATAGGAATAGTTAATATTTCAAATGCTACAAAGGGTTAAAGTAAGTTAAAAATATAAATGTTGCCCTTAGTTTGGTTGTTGATAAACTATGTAAATTTTAGTAGGTTAAAGAGTAAGTTTAAAAGTTGAAAAAGACTTAGTAGCTTGAGTGGGAAAGAAGAGTTTAGAAAGATAACTAGAGGGAGATTGGGGTTGAAAGAATCCCTATCAGAACAGCTTTGGCTACATCAATAAAAAGCCCAGTTAACAATGGCTTATGAGCAAGTAGGGATTTATTTCCTCACATAATAAATCTGGAGGACAATGGGATTGTTCAGAGACAAAATAATTCAATGCCTTGAGTTTTCCATCATGGGCACATGGTTGCCCCAGCTTCAGGTAAAATATCTGCATTCAATGCAAAAAGAAATGGAGTGGGTAGTATTAGCAACATCACTGCCTTTTATCAGAAAATGTTTCCCCAGATGTCCCTCAGTAGACTACTGCTTACATCTTCCTTGACCACAGCTGTATTACATGGAGACTAGCAGCAAAGATGACTGAGAAAAGAAGCATTTGCTCTTGGAGCCTCTATAATGGGTAGGCAAAGAAAAGGTGGTTTGATAAGGTGTTGACTTAACCAATAGTCTGCTGAGAATGTGTTTGCATGACTTAAGGTAGAAGAATTAAGCATGTTTATCACCTAAAAGAAGTGTGGAGTCTAGCTGGTGTTTCTCAGTGGTTGAGCATCGACCTATGAACAAGAAGGTCAGGGTTTATTTCCTGATTGGGGCACATGCCTGGGTTGCAGGCTCAATCTCTAGTAGTGATTATGCAGGTGGCAGCTGATCAATGATTCTCTGTTCATCATTGATGTTTCTTTCTCTTCCTCTCTGAAATCAATTTCATATTTTCAAAAAATAATAAAAGAGATGTGGAGACTCTAAAGGTGCAGAAAGGAGGGGATGTGCAGCGCAAAGTGGGAAAATAAGATTTGGAGCACAGGTAAAGGATATAGGAATCTTTTACACTGGGAAGGACACTTTCCACTGGAAGAGGTGGTAATCAGTGATGGGTGCAGATGTTTGTGGGTGACAATGGAAGAGGTTCTCTGAGGGTTCTCAGTGTTTGGACTCTGGGAAGTTTTAATTCATGGAATTCGAACATCAACGATGAAGGAGGAATGGAACTGAATTATATTGTATCCTCAGAAACTGAAATTTTAAATTTCTCTCCATTTTGCCCAGTTTCCTCCTTTCCCTTCATCTGTTTTTCTTTCTTTTTTTTTTTTTTAATATATTTTATTGATTTTTCACAGAGAGGAAGAGAGAGATAGAGAGTTAGAAACATTGATGAAAGAGAATCATCGATCAGCTGCCTCTTGCACACCCCCTACTGGGGATGTGCCCGCAACCAAGGTACATGCCCTTGCCCGGAATCGAACCTGGGACCTTTCAGTCCGCAGGCAGACGCTCTATCCACTGAGCCAAACCGGTCCCGGCTCATCTGTTTTTCTTACACCTCATTTCATCTGAAGAATACAAGGAGAACCCTAACCAGTTTGGCTCAGTGGATAGAGCGGCCTGTGGACTGAAGAGTCCCAGGTTTGATTCTAGTCAAAGGCATGTACCTTGGCTGTGAGCACACTCAGTGGGGAGTGTGCAGGAGGCAGCTGAATTGATGTTTCTCTCTCATTGATGTTTCTAACTCTATTCCTCTCCCTCTCAGTAAAAACTTATTAACAATATGTTTTAAAAAAGAATACAAGTAGGTGGGAGGAAAGGCAATAAATAAATGGGTAGAAAGTAGAAGAAAGTGATAAAGACTCAAAAGGAAGGCATAGGATAAGGGGAAGAGGAAGAATGAAGTTATTGAAGCCTAAGATGGATATTAGCGCATGGAGGGAGGATCAGGACACATGATCCAGATAAATGGAGGTTTCACTACTTTTTCAGGAGTCTTGGAAGTCTTAGACTCTGTATGTCAGTTTTCAGCCATCTTGGGCAACAAGTAATGAGGACTTTGTACCTTTTCTCTATCAACAGGTGCAGGACTCCTGGTTCCATGCATTAGACATGAGACCTTGTGCAAGGCACTTAACCTTGGTGCCTCCCTTTTTCCATTTGTTAATAGTGCAAACCTCACAGCTTTAGATTGCATTAGGTAACTAATGTAAAGTGCTTATAAAAGTGTACAACATGTAGTTAGTACCCAACAAATGTTATCACCCTCATGTAATATCCAAATATCCAATAACAATAATAGCAAAACTCCATAGCATGGCGTCCACAAACGTTAATTATCTTTGAACTAGAGGCCCAGTGCCAGAATTCATGCACCAGTGCGGTCCCTTGGCCTGGCCTGTGGGATTGGGCTGAAACCAGCTCTCCGACATCCCCCTGAGGGGCCCTGGATTGTGAGAGGGTGCAGGCCAGGCCGAGGGGCCCTACTGGTGCACATCTGGGACCATGTGGGGAGTTAGCCAGCCAGAGGGACTGCCCAGGAGGGGTCCAGGGTGTGTCTGGCACATCTTGCTCAGATCCCATCAGCAAGCTAACTACTGGTTGGAACATCTGCCCCATGGTGGTCAGTGCACATCATAGCCATTGAACAGCCTTAGTATATCATTAGCATAATACGTTTTGATTGGTTGAATGGCTGACCAGATTACCAGACACTTAGCACATTGGGCTTTTATTATATAGGATGACTATGCTCTCAATACATACCTTGTAAGAAAAAATAAAAATAAAACTGGCAGTTAGTCCCATCTCCAGCCTGCAGTAATAGCCTACTAACTTTTTCCTGTATTCCTTCCCACCACTGCGTGTTTTCCACACAACTGACCAGTGATTCTGTCCAAGTATGGTCAGCCATGTCACTGTTTTGCTCAAACACCTGTAATGGTTTCCCATCACATACAGATTAAGTCCTGCAATGGGTTCTAGGGTTCTAGTGACCCTGTGAATTCATCACCTCCCCCTCTCCCTTGTTCACCAGGCTCTCTCCAGTCATATTGGATTTCTAAGCCTCAAACTTACCAGGTACCCTTCTCTGGGCAGCATTCCTGTTTCCTCCTGCTTAGAGGTTCCTCCCAGATAGTCACATGATTTCCTCCCTTACTGTATTCCAGTGTCTGCTCGATATTTTCTCAGGGCTAACTTCCCAAAACGCTACTTAAAATAATCCCGAACCTCTGACACACTCTAAAACTTAATCCTGCTTCACTGTCATCAGTATCTGAGGTTTTGTTTTATTGACTTCCTCCCCGAGGAGAACTACACCTGAATAAGTGCAGGGTTTTCAGCCCTAGAACAAGGCCTCACACATCAGTGCTCCTAAGCAGGTTCCTACAGAAGCCTTCAATAAAACCCCAAACAATGCTGTAGTGTCACATACAAGTCACTGACACTGCTTCTCAAGAAGTAGCCAACGGGTTAGTTCCCTGACAAACCTCCGGCCACATACTTGAAATTTTCACCACCTACAGAATCGAAACCCTCTCAGGTCTTCCTGAAAACCCTGACAAATCGCCAAGAGCGATTTATTCCACCTGCTCTACGCTTCCCAGGCACCGTGCCCGAAGCCCCCGCCCAGGTCCCGATCCTCCTGGGCAGCCTCCTCACTCCTCTGCCATCCTTCTGCCCGAGCCCTCCCGCCTCCGCATCCCGTTTCTCCAGGCCCCACGGCCGGCCACACGGTCCGCGTCGGTGGCGTCCCCGGGCGGATGCACAGCCTCACTGTCCTCGGCGCGGTCCGCGGTCTGGCACGCGCCTTTCGGCTTTTTGTGTCCTCCTCCCTCCTCCGGTACCAGTCCTGAGCCACACCCCTCAGCGGACCCGGCGCCGCTCCACCGGACTGACCTGCCTCATCCCAACTTCTCGCTAGTCTCTCGCCCGAACGTGTTTCAAAGCAGAGACCGAGTCCCAGTCTGACCAGAGCGGAACCAAAGCCGCAACTCCCCGTTAACACGCGGGGCGTTATTTGCAGCATGGACCGGCGGCGCCCCGCCGAGACCTCTGGGAAATGTAGTTTCCGTGCAAAGTCTCTGGACCTGGCGGAGGGGGCGGGGTGTGAAGTAAGGGGCCGTCTGCTCGCGAGAGCAATATTTTCTTCCGCGCGGCGGCGGGTCTGCCAGGTGGGAAGTGGCCTGGAGAGCAGAGCGGCGCCGCCTTGGAATTGGTGGGTTCGTCCCTGCGGTGCCGAGGGAAATGCGCAAGCGCAGTTCAGACCCGGGCTGCAGCCTCCAGCGCTTTGTTCTGTGGCGGCGACGCGGCGATGGAGGACCCTCGCCGCTGGCGGGGTCTCCGCGGCCGCCCGTGGGTCACCGGGCGCCGTAGCCAGAGCCTCGCCGGGAGCGCGGGAGCGGCCGCGGGCGGTTGCGTCCGGGGAGAAGAACGGAGGTGAAAGCTCAGTGGGTCCGTTGCATGCTCCGTCCCGGAGAACGCTGCTGTGATGCCGCAGACTTCCCAGGATGTATGGCCCAGGTTTGATTCCAAAGAGAAAAAGGACGCCAAGGTTTGGGTTCTTGGATTTCGGGCTCGAATCTGCGAGCGCCCTCAGGAGGACGCGGGCAGGGCTTCTGGCGAGCATCTTGGAGCCGAGCCGACCCCGGGAAGCCCGTTCACGCCCAGGGGGTAGCTGATGCTCCCGGTGGGTTGTGACACTACGTGGAGCCCCTCCGAGCGGGCAGCAGAGCAGAGGGCGGGAGGGTTGGGTGAAGATTCCTAACCGTCTCCCTCTTTCTGCCTCCCCCTCTTCCACCAAATGCCTGCTCATCTACCTTTCACGCCAGGTGACCCAAACTGGGCCTCGGAAGAGGACAGACCTGAGGTCAGAGAAGGGCTTGGCTTGAAAGCCTCGACCATGAAGGAGTTGTTGGGGAGGAGATCTACCCTTCTTTGCTTCCTTTTGGAGGAGAAAGAAGTTGACTCTCCTCCTGCACTTCCTAACCCCACTCCCAGAATTAGGCAGCTGTCCAGCTAGGAAAGGCTTCTGTAGAGAGACCTCTCAGAGTAAGGAGGGCAAAGTTCTGGGAGCGGGTAGAAAGCGTGAAAGCTGGGGCTGGAGAGTGCTTTCTGCAAGGAGAAGCCAATGTATTTACGCTATGGAAGGGGGATGTTAGGGTGTGTGTGTGAGTGTGTGTGTGTGTGTGTGTGTGTGGTAGCAGAATGGTGAGTGATTCCCTTTACTGTGGGGACCAGCAGGAATGCTCCCAGGAGGAGAGAGAATTGGGAGCAAATGGCTAAGAATTCAGGGCTGGTATTGGAGGACTCCCAGGATGCGAATGCTCACAGCCTCACTCTGGACTGCTGTGTGCTTTCTTCTGATGCAGTCCTCTCCCCATAACAGGTGTGTAGAGGTTTCTGCCTGAAGAGTCCTGCTCTGCTCGTTCCTAAAAGAGCTCAGTAGAGAAGAAGCAATGGCTGTCAGGCACCTGCCACACATGGCCCCGGTGAGTGAGGATTGTAGTGGAGCATTCTTCCACACACGGAATTGTCTTAGAGTTGAATGTGGAGGTTTGGAGAGTGTGGGCGTGTTCCTTTTCCCTGACCAGAGCTTTTTCTGCCAGTCCAGTCTCATTCAGAGGACTGATGCAGTCACTACATTCTCCCTTCCCACCATGTCAGGCTCATCCTAATGGGTGCCATCCAAGCTAAAGAACTTGTTAAAAGTCACAAAAGTGACAACTGGAACTGGAATCCAGGTTGGTCCAAAAGAGAAGCCTGCACTCTTTCTACTAGCAAGTATGATTAGGTATCTAAAGTGATAAAGGCAGTGCCTAAGACAGGAGCTGAGAGGAGAGATTGGAACACTTTCTTGAGGAGATGAGATTTACTGAACCCTCTTTTAAAAAATATGACATACGGCTTTTTCAGAGAAATTTGCATACCAATGAAATAATTTTAAAAAGTGGTACATGTATGAATGGAATATTACTCAGCCATGAAAAATAGTGAAATCTTACCATTTGTGACAACATGGGTGGACCTAGAGGGCATTATGCTCTGTGAAATAAGTCAGTCAGAGAAAGACAATTGCCATATGGTTCTACTTACATGTGGAATCTAAAGAACAAAATAAACAAAACAGAAACATACTTATAGAAAGAACAAAACTGATGGTTGTCCGATGGGAGGGGTTTGGGGAGTTGGATGAAAAAGGTGAGGGGATTAAGAAGTACAAATCGATAGTTACAGAATAGTCACGGGGATATAAAGTATACAGCACAAGGAATATAGTCAGTGGTATTGTGATAATTATGTATGTGCCAGGTAAGTACTAGACCTAAGGGAGAAATCACTTCATCTGTAGTAATAAAAGGGTAATGTGCTCATTAGGTCAGGAGACCTGGGAGACCTTCTGGACAAAGCCCTGGTTGCAGGGCCGAGGCAGAGGTGGTTAGGGGTGATCAGGCCAGCAGGGGAGGGAAGTTGGGGGCAATCAGGCTGGTAGGGGGACAGTTGGGGATGATCAGGCTGGCGGTCGGGGATGGGGGGTCGTTGGGGGGCGAGCAGGCCAGCAGGGGGAGCAGTTGGAAGCGATCTGGCCGGTGGGGGGCGGGGGGGCAGTTGGTGGTGATCAGGCCAGCAAGGGGGTACAGTTAGGGATGATTAGGTCAGAAGGGTGGGGCAGTTGGCAGTGATCAGGCCCGCAGGCAGAGTGGTTAGGGGCAATCAGGCAGGCAGGCAGGTGAGTGGTTAGGAGCCAGTGGTCCTGGATTGTGATAGGGATGTCCAACTGCAGTCAGACATCCCCTGAAGGGTCCCAGATTGGAGAGGGTGCAGGCCTGTGCATGAATTTCTTGCATCAGGCCACTAGTAAGTTATACAGATGTCTAATTACTATGTAACATTGTATGTCAACTATAATAATAATTTTTATTTTTAAAAAGATTATGCTTTCAATTTCAATAATTTACTAAAAGGCTTTGAGCAGAGCCAACTTCTTGAGAATCAGGTTATGGACTGCACTATGAGATAGCACTCATTTGAGTGTATAAGTTCCAATGAGTTTGGTAAAATTGTTCTAGCACCTTCACATTTAAGCCTGTCTGGGGCAGGACTCTGTGGCAGAAATCATTGATAGCGATGAGCAGCTCCAGTTTCTGACGTCGTTTAGGACCCATCTGACACAACACTTTTTCTGCGCAACTGGTCTCAATGGTGCCAGTCTACGGTGGTATTCCCTTCCTTGACCATTTTCTCAAATTCATTGTTGGTGTTGTGCAATTACCTTGTGTTTACACCCTGCCTTAGTTTGTTTGCCGTGTGAAGGGGTAGCCGCCAGACAACAGGGATGGGCTTGTTGTTCCAGGAATCAGTGACCTTCAAGGATGTGGCTGTGCGCTTCACCCAGGATGAGTGGGCACAGCTGAGCCCTGCTCAGAGGGCCTTGTACAGGGATGTGATGCTGGAGAACTACAGCCACCTGGTCTCACTGGGTAAGTGGGGAGCCTCGGAAGGTTTGCCTTCACATGTGGACATCTCTTGGGACCTTACACTGGTAGCACATAGCTGGCATGGGCTGATAGAAGATGTCATTTTTAAGTCTGCGACCTGCCTACCTTGGTGTCCCAGACACAGGACTCTTTTGGCCCATAGAGTGAGTGGGGGTTGAATCTTCCCTCCCTTTGGCAGAGAGAAGGTCATGGGCATAGGTTGTGTATCAGACCTGAGCCATCTTTTTGTCCTCTGGGAACTCATCTCTATCTTGGCCTTCCCATCAATCACCTTTTCCAGGAAGATCTGAGGACCAGGTCTCGTCCTTGCAATGACTTTTTTCTATAGCATGAACAGATGTGGTCCATTTCCCCCCCCTTAAAAACAGGGCTCTTTGGACCCAAACCAGATCTGTTTGCCCAGCTTGGAAAAGGGGAAGATTGGACAGCAGGAGACGCCTCCCGAGGCTTCTGTCTGGGTAAGACCCTGCGTGTGGGAGACATGGAGAGAAACTCGGCAAATGCGACAGGCTGTGGCCCTGGAAATGAGCGTCTTCTCCCTTCTGTTCACCTCAGTACTTCGCTGTCACCTTTGTCCCTGCATGCATACGTCGCTCCTTTCTTTTGGCAATCTGTGCCTCCCTCTCTGGGACATTTCTTCTCTCCCTATCTGGCATAGATTAATCGTCTCTGGTTTGGAAAAGACCTCACATGTAATCTGGGCAGCTCCCCCACTATGTTCCATTGTCCCATTCAACACTTGACAGTGCAGCCTCTGTTCCTACTTCTCCAGTGAGGGGGAGCCACGCTGGGCCACACACAGTAGGGCGGCTTCTTCATAGTTATAGGCCAGTAACCATACTCACCCTGAGGCTGCTCTTGTAGCTAAACCTTGCACATTTCTTCAACTGCTCTCCTGTTTGTCCAGACCTGTATACATGTATTCAGCCAGCATTCAGTTACTTTCCACCTTCTGTGGCAGCGCACTTACTAAATTATACTCTGCTGTATCACTCACATCCAGCATCCAAATGCTTGGCATCTGGGTGGGTGTCATAGACTTGTTGCTTAGGGACATAGAGATCATGATAGTTTAGTGGTTGTTACTTGTCTTGAGGAGCCCATTGGATTTGGTAGCTTAAGAGCAAGAGAAGGGTGCTTTCCTACCCCTGAATGTTCTAGAGCAGCGGTCGCCAGCCGGTGGTCTGTGAGGTCTAAAAGGTTGATGAACGCTGTTCTAGAGAGCTTATTGCCACATCCGACACTACGTTACAACATTTCACTTTTACTGTCATACTTGCAGGCTGTAAAATATTTACTGTGTGTGTATATAGTATATAATATATATATATATTTAAAAACCTTACTGATGTTTCACAGAAGTCCAGTGAAGTAGGCAGGAATTTATATCTTACATGAAACCACTATGTACCTGCAATGTCTCGGACACAATTTGTTATGGAATTTAAGTGTTTGAACTCCACAACAGTTATCAAGAACATTTTTGACCCCAATGGCATTCTGAATTTGTATGTTTTATTACAAGCAAACTAAGGCACCTTAATATTTCATTCTGTGTCAAACAGGCAGGGTTATGACAAACAAGGGGGGGATTAAACAAATTCATTCACTGTCCTACCACTCCGGTATCATGAATGCATTCTTCCATTCACTCGTCACTAACACTAGCTCTTTACTGCACTGCTGTGCGGGGAACATGAACATGAAGAAGGACTTGGATGCCGATAAGGGACTCTATACTCAGGTGTGGGAATGACTTGAAAACCTGGTGGGTGTGATTCATTTCTTCCCAGATGCCTTTCATAGCCCTCGGACCCAGCACCTCTTATTTGTGCATTGCCTGGACACCCTAAATTTTGAGCCTATTCATGAAGGATAATTAGTGGTTAGCCAGTCAGACATGGAAAGAAGTCTTATTTTATATTTCCCAATAAAGATTTATAGTTGTTTCCCCCATTTCTGATAGGGTTATATTTTTATTTTTGAAGAGTACCGCCTTCTCTTTTGCTGTTTTAACCGGAAATTGCTAATATAAAGATATGGTTGTCATTTCCAATTGTATTTATCCCCTTCTGGTCACTCTCTTATTTTATTTATTTATTTATTTATTTACTTATTTTAAATATATTTTATTGATTTTTTACAGAGAGGAAGGGAGAGGGATAGATAGCCAGAAACATCGATGAGAGAGAAACATCGACCAGCTGCCTCCTGCATACCCCCACTGGGGATGTGCGCACAACCAATATACATACCCTTGACCAGAAACAAACCCGGAACCCTTCAGTCCGCAGACCGACGCTCTATCCACTGAGCCAAACTGGCCTTGGCTGGTCACTCTCTTATTCGTAAAATATTGGATTCATTTTTAGTTTTTAAAAAAATATATATTTTATTGAATTTTTACAGAGAGGAAGGGAGAGGGATAGAGAGCTAGAAATGTCGATGAGAGAGAAACATTGACCGGAATCGAACCTGGGACCTTAGTCTGCAGGCCGATGCTCTATCCAGAGCCAAACCGGCTTCGGCTAGTTTTTGTTTTTTTCTTATTGCTGTTTCTTCTATAATAATAAAGCATAATATGCTAATAGAGTGGACAGTCGAACAACCTTCCAGCTGTCCTTCCGGATGAAGCTGGGACTGGGAGGGCCGAGACTTTTGCACAAATTTCGTGCATCAGGCCTCTAGTTTCTTAATAACTAGCTAGGACTTCAAAAATCATATAGAACAATGTTAATAGGTGTTATCTCTAATTTATAAGTGACTGGGTCTAGACCCAGTGATTGGCAAAATCATTAGTCAACAGAGCCAAATATCAACAGCACAACGATTGAAATTTCTTTTAAGAGCCAAATTTTTTAAACTTAAACTTCTTCTAACGCCACTTCTTCAAAATAGACTCACCCAGGCCGTGGTATTTTGTGGAAGAGCCACACTCAAGGGGCCAAAGAGCTGCATGTGGCTCACGCACAAGCTGTGGTTTGCCGACTACTGGTCTAGACCTTTTCCATTGTTGTACCAGTTACTCTTGGTTTAGAATAGACACTTATTTGTAATCAGCACAAGAAAAAGTCCTCATGAATAGCTTTCCTTCTTTTTCTCTTCTCTGAGCCATGAGGTATTGGAGTTAGAAGGAGGAGAAAGCTGAATGAGTCCCTGTGGCAGGTCACCATTACTGGGTAGCTTCTGGGGATTTATGTTAGATAATGACAGCCTGTGAGGCAAGTATGATTAACACCAGTTTATAGAAAACGGAATCTCAGCTTGGTTAATTAATTTGGATAGATTTAATGTTAGTATGACATGGCAAGACAGGATTAGGGTGAAGCTAACATGAAACTCATCTGACCCAAAAACTGTCATTTCCCCCCCTTCTCCAAAATATCTTTAGTTACACAGAAATGGTTTACTCAGAAAACATCTTGATCTCTTATTTTGAGTGGTTCACTAATAACTTTTTACATTTCTTCTTTATTAATTGGTTTAAGTTTCTTTTTGTTATATGAACTGTACATCTTACCCTTTAGCTTTAAATTAGTCTTTTTTGAGCTATAAAATGTATTCATTTACAATTATGTATGGCGTGTATCTGCAATTTTAACATTTGTATATTATGTCATCTTTCTAATTTCCAATTTTACTTGCATATTTTTTCTCTTAAATTTGTTGGGAATTTTTTTTTTAGAAAGCCAGCTCTTATTTCTCTGACAAGTAATTTTAAAATTTATATACTTATGTTTATTTTTAGAGAGGAAGGGAGAGGGAGAGAGAGAGAGAGACATTGATGCGAGAGTGAAATATTGATTGGGCTACTTCTTGCATGCCTCCTACTGTGGATTGAGCCTGAAAACTGGGCTTGTGCCCTGACTGGGAATTGAACTGGCAACCTTTCAGTGCATAGGACAATGCCCAACCAGCTGAGCCACACGAGCCAGATATTTTATTTCTATACTTAACATTATCATTTGCTTTGTTTACCTTAAAATAAGTATATTTTGAATACTGTATATATAGTTACAAAAGAGGATATGTAATATCTTTTTGAACATTTTGAAGAACTAAGAAATAACACCCATACTTCACTATCCAGCTTAAGAAAACAGAACATGGAGGCATATGTGAAGCCCAGTGTGCACCCCCTCTTCACACCTTCTCCTTTCATGCTAGAGACTCACTAGCTTGAATTCTTCCTAAGCAACTCTGTGCTGCTCTTCATGGTTTTACCACATTTATCCATAGTTTGGACCAATGCTATTGCTGTAAGCTTGATATATATGTGTTATACTATAGATATCTTTCCACAACTTCCATTTTTAAATCCTTATTGTGATGTGTAGCTCTAGATATTTTTAAATTGCACTTTGATATTCCTTCAATGACTATCCCTTAATTTATCCTTTCTCTTGTTGATAGACCTGAGACCATATTGTTTCAAGACTTTTTGTTGTTTTTAATAGGGCTGACCCAAATATGCTTGTGCATACTTCCTAGAGTTTTCTTGTGTTCAGGTACAAATACTGGATATAAAAGCATATGCTGCTTCAACTGTACTAGATTTTCCCAGAGTTCCATATTATACTAATAGTTGATGTAAGTTCATGTTACTTTACATTCTTGCCAAAATGCCTCCTGCACACCTCCTACTGGGGATGTGCTTACAACCAAGGTACATGCCCTTGACCTGAATCGAATCCAGGACCTCTCAGTCCCCAAGCCGACACTCTATCCATTGAGCCAAACTGGTCCCGGCGAAGAATCTTGGTTTTAGTTCTTGTTATTCATCACCTTGAATATTTCTTGCCACTCCCTTCTGACCTGCAAAGTTTCTGTTAAGAAATCAGCTGACAGTTGTATGGGTGCTCCCTTATAGGTAATTAACTGCTTTTCTCTTGCTGCTTTAAGATTCTCTCTTTGTCTGTAACTCTTGGCATTTGAATTATGATGTATCTTGGTGTGGGTCTTTTTGGGTTCCTCTTGTTTGGGACTCTTTGTACTTCCTGGACTTATAAGTCTATTTCGTTCACCAGAGAGGGGGAGTTTTCTGTCATGATTTCTTCAAATAGGTTTTCAATATCTTGCTCTCTTCTTTTTCTGGTATCCTCATAATGTGAATATTGTACACTTACTTGAAGTTGCCCCAGAGGCTCCTTACACTATCTTCATATTTTTTTTATTCGTTTTTCTTTTTGCTATTCTGATTGGGTGTTTTTTGCTTCTTCATATTCCAAGGTGTTCATTTGATTCTCAGAATCCTATATTCTACTGTTGAATCCTAGTAAATTCTGTATTTCAGTTATTGTAGGCTTAATTTCTGATTGGTCCTTTTTCATGTCTTTGAAATTCTCACTAAGGTTCTCATCTCACTAGGTCCCTTGAAGCTCTCATTAACTCCCTTGAAGCTCATTAAGATCCTTAAGTAATTATTAGGTCTAGTAATAATTAATGTCGTTTTCTAATA